ATACATAATTATCATTTTGAAATAACATAGATAGTGGTTTAGCAAACAAATTGAGAGGAGTTAACAAATTTATTGGGAAGTTCTTTAAGAGTAGGGTGTGGTAAACTCAGGTGGAATTAGCCGGTGATTTTGGACATGCTTCTTCTTTCCAGAACAAGGCACGTAATGCATGCATCGTCTTTTTTTTCAATGCAAAACATGTAGCTTCACCTTAGTTGTTAATATATTTTTCTTCTTTTTTGTTATCATCTCTTTTTACAGGTATTTGTTTTGTTCTCTTCTTGAGAAATAGGGCCTGCTGAAAAACATGTCGTTATGTGCACTGGAAAATTTGCAGTGAATGAAAGAAGATTATAAATAACACGAGCACAAATGCACTTGCTACACATGCAGTGTAAAGCAAGAAAAAAATAGCATCGATGCATCTAGTGATTATAAATAACCAGAGGAGTTTCTTTTTTTCTTTTCTTTTTATCGCGGGTGAGTCCACAGGCGTTTGGAGCACGCAGGGGTGGCTGAGGCTCTGTGTTGTTGTATGGGAGTGTTAGGGGGCGTTTGGTTCTGGGGCTATCCCTTAGTGGGATAGGGATAGCCAGATTTTTTGAGGATGCCACATGTTTGGAAGTTAGGATGAGATGGCCGGGGATAACCTGCTTTAAGGAATATTCGCTCTGAAACCTGGCTGCCGATAGCCGCGAGAATCTGGCGAACGAGGGCAGCCACCCACGCTCGCTCCGCTTCAGTTTACCTCCCTGTCTCCCGAATCGTTTTCTTTTGTTTATCTCGCCTCACAAACAGATATTGACGACGGGATCGGGCTGTATGGGCGGCGGTGCTTGGCGACCGCCGGCGGCAGGAAACGGATAGCGCTTGCAGCTGGACTTGACGAGGCTGCCATGTTCCTCTGCCCTCTTCTGTGGTTCGATTTGACCCCTCTCCCGTTTCTATGCAACAAGCACGGAGAAGCACCGCGCTACACCCGGCAAAAAAAAGCACTGCGTTGCTGCTCTTTTGTGCTACGATCTACGTATATCTTTCTCGTTTTTCTGTAGCTAGCTGGTTCGTGTGTATGAAGAATGTCTGCATTTAATCTACTTGCTCGTCCGTTTGCCATGCTTGCTTCTTTACGCATGCAAATAATGTAGAAATAGTGTGGATATAACCTCTCTTGTTTTTGTTTTTTTTTTGCATGCTTGCTTCTTTACTCGGTACATCGAGTTGATTTCAAAAAGTTGATCTAAAATTGCATGTGTAGGGGTAATCTCACCTTCTTCTAGCAATGAGGTCATCACAACAATCTATCCAATTCTCATTCTTCCAACCAAACAATAAAATGTGGTTATCCAACCCACTCAATCCTACGCAACCAAACAACAAAAATGGCTATCCCTAACCAGGTGGTTGGGGTTATCATCATCCAAGCCATCCTCGCCCTCGAACAAAAATGGCTATCCCTAACCAGGTGGTTGGGCGTTAGGTACTGTTGGCAGCACTAGCGGCAGACTGGAGTTCCACTTTTTAGTTTTAAAAACTTGACGAACTAGACAAATAATATTTACTATACAAACTCTATAATTGTTACTTACGGTTTTTTCATAATACATAATTCTCATTTTGAAATAACAAAGATAGTGGTTTACAGTTTCTTTCAGAGGAGTTTACAAATTTATTGGGAACTTATTTAAGACTAGGGTGTGGTAAACTCAGGCGGCAGTAGCCGGGGATGTGGACATGGGTTTGTAATTCATGTATCATCCTTTCTTTCAATGCAAAGCATGTAGCTTCACCTTGGTTGTTACTTTCTTTTTCTTCTTTTTTCGTTATCGTTTTTTACGTCCCAGATTCCCCCGCCGCGGCCATCTGCTTCACCGGTACTACCAAAAAGTCTCATGCTTACGTTACTGTGACTGATATATAAGTATGATCTTGGACTACGAAGACCCAGTCATGCTTCTGGTTTCCATTCTCATCATCATATTGAAGGAAACTCCTCATGCTCTGCCATAAGAACTTGGAGTCCGTATCATGGTGAAGGTAAGGTAACGTTGTGACTTTTGCTCAAAAAACTGACCGAACACGTTCGAGTTATTGGCTCGTCCGACCCGGAGGCATTCATGAGTCGCTCGTTCAACTGTCCCTCAGAGACACGGTCGAGAAGTGCCACCCCCCCCCCTCCCCCGCCCTTTCTTTCTCTCGGTCCCACCAAGGTGGGGCCCTCTGGGGTAATAAAGAAATGGATAAAAAAGGGGGACTTCTGCTACGGGCTAACCCATTATTTGTGAGGGAAGTCGCATCCGTCCCATCGCAACCACCTACAATGTCATGATCACATTGGTATTTTTTTATCTTCTTGAAAAATAGGGCCTACTTTAAAACACATCGTTACGTGCAACGAATGAAAGAAGATACAAATAACACATGGACAAATGCACTTGGTACGCATGTAGGGTAACGCAAGAAATAAATAGCATCCATGCATGCAGTGTAAAGAAAAATTAAAATAATAATTAATATATCCATGTAAATCAAAAGGAGGCCTAATTATTGATGGGTGTTCCTTCTAATTAACTCATTCATATGAGTTTTATTTCTTCTGTTTACATGTATAGGAAGTCTTTATTTGTAAGATATACCTATAAGGAACCATGACCTATGCTTTTGATTGTTGTAGGCCATGTGTAGTAGGTCTGCCTGGGACATTCTGGTGACCACAGTGACAGTAACGAGAGTACGATCATCATGATGTGCGCTGGTACCTTGACCAATGCCACCAGGTGTGTACCACTCTAGTTGAGCTACATCAGCCAGTAGTTTTGGCGTAACTAATATTGTGTACTTTTTTAGAACTCAATAATATTGTGTACTTAACTAGAGACATACCAACTGTTACATACAAGAGACAGAAACGCATGACGTGTGTGTCGACATATTCTCTAGAAGTCCAGAGGAGATTTGGAGAACGCATGGGTTAAGCGTTTGGTACTGTTGGCAGCAGTAGCGGCAGACGAGTCCCCTGCTACTCCCTCCGTTCGGAATTATTTGTCTCGAAAATGGATGTATCTAGAACTAAAATACATCTAGATACATCCATTTCTGCGACAAGTAATTCCGAACGGAGGGAGTACCTTGCTATTCGATCCCTTCCTTTCGTTTTTAGCTTGCCAAAACTTGACAAACTAGACGAGTCCCCTGCTATCATTTGGTCTTTGGCAATGGAATCCCAGTGGTGTCCTATTGGCCCCCATTTATTTTCTTCAGCATGAACACCATGCATGCCACGTTTCTCACTTCTTTTTCACACAAGTACATTTCTCTACTTTTTAATTAAGGAATACTAATATATTTCCCCAATTTTTCTTCTTTTTAGGGGATAATATTATTTTTGAGGTAGAGGGGATAATATATTTCTCTATATCATTAAGGTTTTTTATCTTTCGGTCTGATTTTTATTTTAATGTATGGGCCGAAGAGTTTTTTTCTTTTCTTTGAGGAATAGCAGAGCTTTTTTTTTTTGAGGGGTAGAGCATTTTTATATTCACGGCAGTAGGGTTGTCGTCCTGGAGGATATAAAGCTCACGTCGGCCCGGCCAACCGATTACAGTACTGAGTAATCATGCTGCGGGCCCATGGAGCTCCTGGGCTGGCTTCGGCCCACGGGAACACGTGCTGTACCAGACCGGCCTGGTCCTACCCGTGACGTCAGCCTCTCCTGCCTGTCCCTTCACGCTCAGGCATGGCCACTGTCACGACTCAACTTCAACTTCTCATGCTTCTTTTTTTTGTGTGAATAAACTTCTCATACTGCTTAACGATGCATAATTGAAGCACAGAGGAGCTAAATGCTCAGGATCTTTTTTTTCCTTTTCAGTTTCTTTTCCACATTTGTTTCAGGAATTTCCGCAACGAAAAGAGCATTATCATCAGATGCCCCATTCCCATTAAATGTCTCAAAAAACAAGGACCCTCGACAAAGCCATCGCGATCCGACAATAATGACACAATTCAGTTCAACGGGTCAATCATACCCAACACTCGCCCTCACGCCGAGGCCCTGCACCCGAGACATGACTTCCACGTGCCGAAATGACGCGGCACCCGCCGTCTACATTATTTCCAACCTTCTGCTAGGTTAAAAGTCTAAAAACCCCAGGTCCAGACCGCCTGCTGCGGCAACAAATGGCATGCTCTAAGCACAGAGATTAGACTGCGTTGCGGTTGTGGTACAGTTTCGGCACGTTGCAGCCCGGTGGCTTGTCGTTTGCCGGGCACTGTAGAGACGAGCTGGTTAGGCCTACCGTTTACAGCAACCACGACTAAGCCTGCATCAATCAGTAACATGTACTGCTGGATATATAGATAGGTTTGGGGACTATATGGCGACCAGGCAGACATATAATAAGCCATGAGCAGCAAGCATACTGTGTTTGGTACCCTACACACACAAAAAAGGGTGCAGAATTGCATGAAATTAGGGGATATGGTATGGCAGACCTCTGTACTCTGCAGCAAGGCAAGTGCACAAAGCCTGCAGTACAGCTCACCTAACTCAAGGCCAGCACATGAACAAGATCAGAGACCCACCATCACAACTAAGCAGACATACAAATAAGCCGGCAACAGTGAATGGCATCTCGTTCAAATACTGTGCTTGTCACCCTACAAACAAAGTACCAACGACGATCGAGGGCGCACATTGCAGAGTTACATCGAAGAAAATGACAGGATGGGCCTTTGTTTCTGTTATTGCTAGCAACAAGGCAAGCACACAGTCCTGGATGGCGTCGATTTCGATGTCGATGGAGAAGGGAATGACTGCAGCCGAGACAAGCTGAAGAACAATCTTCATAGCAGTGTAGGTCACATAACCCAGGACAAGGTCAGATAAGAATATATAAACGAGCAGCGCATTGTTGTCTGTTCTACCCGACTTGTGATAAGAATGTATATAAACGAGAAGCTGCGGGTTCTAATGATAACATTTCCCCACAAAATGAACAAGCTCATGACGATGATGGCGGGGGCGGTGATGGAGGCGGCGTCGATGGTCCCCTTGGCTCATTGCCTTGCTGGTGATCCTTCCCAGCAACTTTCTCATCCAAGACATCCTTCAGCCCTTCCTGATAGGTCTCCACATAGTTCTTCACCGCACTCGTGTAGGTAGACGCGCGGGTCATGTATATGCGCCGCAGCGCAGGCTTCAGCGTCTCCGCCCCGCCCTTTGCTGCCACTGCGAGATCCTCAAGCAGACTAGGCTCGCTCGTAGTTTTCCCCTCCTTGGCCTTGCTGCTGTTATGGTCAGACTCCTCTTTGACCTTCTTGTAATCATTTGGCCTGAGCTCGGGACCGATGTCCCTGACCCAGGAAGCCCCGTAGAGCCTGGTTGCCTCCTTGAGGATGCACCATTTCTCTTTCAGCGTGAGCTTAGGACGCCTCTTGGTGCCCGGAGGGTCTGGCAGAGAAGATGGGAAGGCGATCTCTTTAAGATCATACCTCACATAATCATACAACTTCCTGCAAACAACTCTGAACTTCATGCTACTTGATTGCTCCTACAGCAACCTCCTTATGGGGATCGACGATCAATTAACCTGCACAGCTGTAAGAAGTAAGAGCATAGCTTGTTATACCTTTCAATTTTTTTCTCTCCAACATTTTGGATTAGGAATATCAAAGAAAAGACAATAAGACAGGACACAGTGAAGTTGCTGCAAATGGTAAGACTGAACAAAGGATGCGATGTGGCAGGAAATATTTTGGAAACCATGCGCGAGTTTAAAGTAATTAACTGGATGTCCTGTGAACAACAAAGCACCCATTCGGTGTGTCCATCACAGAGACACTTTATCAAACACCTTCCCTACATAAGGAAAGTAAAGACAGCCCACGGATTTAGCTAAGCATTAAGCAAGCAAACCATTCATCAGATTATAAGTTCAGCTAGAATGGACGCTCTCTTATACAGAAGATCACAAACCCATACCACGTGAATACAAATCAATACTGCATGAAACAATCAGACTGGAAGTGTAGGCTCAGTTTCCGGACAGAGAAATAAACTAACTGCTCGGGAAGTAAGCCTAGAAAGAAGGTCACCTCCTTGAGTTGAGTCCTAGAGGCACCGTCGGCCTCGGTGACATCCCCAGAGTCCAGAGTCGACGTCGAGAGAGTGGGAGGCGATTTGGCAGGAGGAGAGGAGCAGTGACGGTGAAGGTCATCTGAGCCTTTTCGGGGGAGTGGGATGGTATCAATCAGGGTGCAAGTGGGAGAGGGCTGACTAGCAGCCTAAGGGACCTCGCAAGCCCGACTCGACTTATGTAATTCTGTCCGGGCTCCTCCCCCGGCGGCCAGTTTTTTGGCCGTGCTGATTTTGCCATTTGTGAATATATGCACACTCTTCACTATCAATATACGACAGATTATTGACGTTGTTTGACTAGGAATTAATCAGCACCGTGGAACAAATAAAACTTGTTGAAGCAATGCACATCTGCTCTCACGGAAGCATTTGACCGAACACCTTGCCTTCATATCAGAGCATATCCTTCCTCTATGAAGCGTCTAACCAGAAACCTCGGCTTCACGAGGAAACGCGGCGAGGCTGGATAGCATGCACATGGCGGAAACTAGAGAGGCAACCGAGGAAGCGGGACTCGAACGTCGTCGAGCTCTCGATTTGCGGACGGGGTGAAGATCAGCTCGCGCAAGATGCAAACCTGGCCGTGGTGCGCCGAAGCGAGGATGGTCCGCGTTCCGGCGTCGTCACTGGGGAGGGGAAGGCCGAAGGAGGAGGAGGAGGCGCGGCGCCTTCTTTCTTCCAAGAGTCGGCGCGGAGAGGCGACGGCTGCGGCGCCGGCGAGGCTGGCGCGCGTTCCGGGCGGCGGGCTGTATTTGTTTTTTTTTTCCTTGGAAATGATTTGTAACTGGGCGCGCCGCTTACTACGTGGCTTAAATGGGCCGGGCCGCCCAACCTGGTTCTCCTCCTTTTTCCTTTTCTTTGCTCCCTGGGCGTGACACACTACTGTATTATCATCGGGTTTCTACGTTTTTCTTCTGTTTTTATTTTCTATAATTTCCTTTTTCCTTTCTCTATTTAGTTTTTTAATTCCAGAACACTTTTTAAAATACACTAATATTTTAAAATACTATAATATTTTAAAATAAGATAAAACATAAGTAGTAGTTTACGAAAATTTAGCCAGTTGAGAATTTTTTATATACATGAACATTTTTTAATTCGAGGTCATTTTTTGAAAACACAAACATTTTCCTAAATTCGTGGACAGTTTCAGAATTTGAGGACATTTGTTTGCAAACAAGAACAATTTTAGAATTCATGAAAAAAATTGTGGGCATTCTTTAAATAAGATCTACAAAAGAGGCTCCTACTGTAGAATTACAGAAGATCCCAGCGGACATGTTGTCCCAAGAGAAAGAGTCCTTGGACAAAAGAACGAACTATTCACGAACCCATAAAATTAAAAAGTGTCTAAAAATGTCTGAAGGAGGGATTAACCCTCAACGCAAGAATGGCGAGGGCTTCCTTAAAGAGGATTAGTCAATTATCATTGCAAGGAGGACTTCTCCTTGAAGTAGCAACGGTTCTTTTGATTCCAAATATTTCACGGCCCAAGGATCAATATCTCTTCGAATAGCTGTCGACGCCAACATTGAGCCGCATGTTCAATCATACCCTAGAGACCCAATTCATACTTTGATGGTATAACCCACGTCACCCCAAAAACAATCCAATCGTCTGGAACCAAGGGGTCAAGGTGCATCTAATCAACACAACTCAATGGATTAGTCAGGTTGGCACTAGCTTCCAAAGATAATCGCTAGAAGAACTAAGACTCAGGGGTATGTTTTGCATGAATTGGCAAATGGAGACATCCTCGGTGCACGCAAAAGAGAACAAATGATCGTATACCTCTTATAAAGGTTGATTTTCTTCACAAACATCTTTCCAGAGAAGCACATCGTCCTAGCATTATTGAAGCATGTGGACATCCCTCTGTATGTATCAATTAGAGAGAACGTGTCATGCCAACGGAAGGAACCACAAACGGGCATGGCATGGGACTACCTTCGGTGTAGTATTTATCCCAGATAAGCATCACTCCAGGAATGCCATGTTTGTGCATAAGTTTATGAATGAATTTGGAGCCTCATTTTGGACCTTGAGATCAACCACTCCGAGACCACCTTTTTCTTAGGGCAACACACCAAACTCCAAGAGGCTAAATAGTGGTTGCAGACCTCCCGATTAGCCACATTGTGCCACAAGCAGTGCCTACCCACCCGATCAAAGTGATCAATGAGTTTCAATAGCAGTTTCAACACACATATAGAGAAAGATGTCAAGCATGAAAGCACAGAATTAATGAAATGAATATGACAACCATAAGTTAGCCAGAACGTCGCGCTCGGGAGTTGACGTTCAGTATTGTGAACAAGAGGCATAAGCTCGATGATCGTGTGGCGAGTGGTGCCAAGAGGAAGCCCGGGCTAAGTACATGCCATGCGAGTGGCGAGTGGTGCAAAAGTATATAACCAAGAAGTCTTCGTGTGCAGGTTGATCAATAGTGAGATTCGAAATACCTTCATGCCAAGCATTATTGATCAACGATTCAAGCAAGTCAGCTGTGAGGACAAACAATAGAGGAGAGAGGGGGTTATCCTCGCAAACTCCTCATTTGCAATGAACTTCAATGCGTGGTACTCCACTGAGAAAAATAGCAGATGAACCAAATTCAAGGATCAATTGCATCCAATGAAGCCATATATCATCAAAACCACGATATTTCAAAATTTCCAAAATGGAGGAATGCTCGGTTGTATCGAAGGCTTTGTCAAAGTCTTATTGAAGTACCAGAATCTCCCTCCCAGATGTTTTGTGTTGATAAAATGCCCAAACTAGGCAATCTTGGATGGTACAAGGATGGCTCCATTTTATGATTGTTTTCCGAGGGTATTTTAGTCGGCTAAACCAGGGTTCTGTTGATTTTTTTTTCTTTTTACTAATAATTGTTTGCCAAAAATATAAAACCCATGTTTCCTTTTTTTCAAGAGCAAACATTTTTAGAAGGAACAAGTGATGTATTTGGATAATAGAGGAGGAGATGGACGACTTTCCAATTGGAAAGCTCTTCATTTGGCGCAACCATCGAAGGAAATGAAGTGTGGTACAAGCATCACCGCTCATACCGCTCCTCGTACCAGGTGGAGCCGCCTCCCCCTCATCTATATAAGAAACTTCCGTGTTGACAACATACAGAGAAGAAGAACAGATTAACAACGGATCACGACCATGGCAGAGGGGAGAGATTCGGAGGAGAAATTACTTCACATAGAAACGTCTTGGCTCCCGCTACAACATGATCGTCCATTCCATCATCTACATCATAGTCGAAGAGAGAGAATCAAACTTGTAAGGTTGTTGTTTCTAGAGTCTATTCGTATTTTGATCTAGAGAGTAAGATTTGTTTAATCATTCATCTATGTGTGTGGTTGTTTATCCTTCTCCCATGCGCAAGTAATTCCCCAGGCTAACTTGATTTAACAACCTATAAAAACCAAAGTAGGATGGCCAAAAACTATCAAAATGAAAAAAAGCCCATGTTTTGCAATGGAACTTCCAATGGTCATAACACACGGCACATGATCCGAGATAAGGCGGGTTAAAGGCTTGACCAACGTGTTAGGAAATATTGATGCTCATTTCCACAGATATCAAACACTAGTTGAGCTATTCGAGGAGAGGTTGTTCTTGCATGTTACTCTAGGTGTACTATGTACCCTTGAGAGGAATACCCAAAAGAGAAAGGCCATTGATCACATCATTAAACTTATAATATTGCCAACATTGCCCTAGCAAGTTTCTGTTTTCCAGAGAACGCATGAAGTTGAAATCACCCATGACTGAGAGACCATTTCTTGCTCTCTTGAGCGTTGGGATACCTCCCAATTGTAAGGTTTGATGTAGCCTAACGACAAGAATTTCCCTTGATTGAGAACCAAGGTTTACCAAAACATTAGGAACTACTCTACGACACCTAATGATGGGTATCTGCTGATACGTCCATTTTGCATCATGTTTTCCTACTGTTATTTATAGTGTTTTTATGCATTCTAACACTTTGTGGAGTAAGTCTAATGCCTTTTCTCTCATAATATGCAAGGTTTACACAAAGGGGGGAGATTGCCGGCAGTTGGAATTCTGGACCTGAAAAAGCTATGTCAGAGATACATATTCTGCACATCTCCAAATGAGCTGAAATTTTACGGAGAATTATTCTGGAATATATAAAAATATTGGAGTTAAGAAACACCATAGGGGGCCACCCAGGTGCCCACTAGGCACCATGGCGCGTCTGCCCCCCTGGCGCGCCCTGGTGGGTAGTGGGGCCCCTGGCTCACTTCCGGCGCCCATCTTCTAGTACATAAGGTCATTTTCCCTAAAAACAATAAAGAGAGGACTTTCGGGACAGAGCGCCACCGTTTTGAGGCGGAATTTGGGCAGGAGCCCTTTTGCTCT